CAACCGGTTTGGATGCCTGCTCAGTAAAATAATTATTTATCGGAAAATAATTTGAACTTTGAAAAATCCTCTCGTAGACATATTCTTAAATAGTTAAACTATGAAAATATGGAAAAAACGATTTTTTTATTTTTAAACCAGAATACTTCCTTATGAGAACCCTACTACAACATACCCCCCTCCCCCCCACCCCAACACCCCCATTGATCCCCAGTGGCGTTTGTACGACCACCACTGAGTAATTGGCAACAAACACCAAGGCTCTAACTATTTCACTTTCAAATCAATAAATAAGCTTTATCAGCAAATTTTGAAATCAGTCCCTTCAGTCCCACAAGTAGAAACGAATTGAAGTTTTGACTAATCATAGCAGCTGGAAGCATGCTAATCATTAGCAGAAATGTTAATTTTGCAACCAATTGGGAGTACTTACAACACCCAAGAAATATATGACCTTCTAGATTCTCATTAAAGCAAAATAAATGGCATAATTTTCTTTGATTTGATAAACTGTTTTGATATTTAAGGGCACGGGGTGTGCGATAGACTTACCTCCACGTGGTGCACCCTGGGCAACGTATACTCATACGGCAAAAAAGTCTATTAACCGGCATTTGACTTCTGACTTCAAACTACTATCACCCCACTGCATTTCATATTCGACCACTTCCACAGTACTTACCTCACCTTTTTTCTACCTTTGTGTCCGTCTGTCTCTTTACCTACCTTTTCTCTGCCTTTGTGTCTGTCTGTCTCTTTTACCAAGACCCCACCGCATTTCATATTCGACTAAGTAAACAGTACTCACCTTTTTTCTACCTTTGTGTCCGTCTGTCTCTTTTACTTCTGTGAATTGTTATTCTGTCCCCCCTCTCGACGTTTTGCCACTTTGATGCTCCTCTTCCTTTCTGTGAAGCCCAAAGTCAACTAAAGGGGCTAATGGTACCTATCATAACGCCTGCCATTTGAAACAAATAAATAAATAATTTCCAAAATAGATCAAACTGTGTATTCATTAGTTCACCGCAACCGTTGGTTGTCAACATTCGTGGCTAATTCTAGCAAGCACAGAACCTCCGTTCAATTCCATTGTGGAGAGAAAATAAAACTCTAAAGAAATAGTTGAATTCAAAAGAAAAAGGCGATTTATGCTAATGTAGTAAATTCGAGGACGTTAAACAGTTGGAATGACGCGAAGGAACACTTCGCAGGCAAATATTAACTTAAAATTTAATAAATTTAGTATAAAGACCTAGTGGCGTTACTGCAATTTCCTTTGATTCACTTATCAATTGATGAAACAGTCGATTCATTCACAAGAAAAATACCTAGAACTTCTTATTGACAGAGGCCAACAGATATTGAGAAAGAATCACACTTTGCACCATCATTCATCCGGGTGCTCTCGCACTTAAAGCCTATATAAGGCCAGGTCTTTCTGCAATGACTGCACAAGTCAGCAAAATCAACAACCATGGAGGCATTCTTAGGAACTTGGAAAATTGAAAAGAGTGAGGGCTTTGACGCAATTATGGAACGTTTGGGTGTGAATTTGTTGAAACGAAAGGCAGGCAACGCAATGAAGCCTAAATGGATTGTCACCGACCTTGGGGATGGTCGATATCAGATGAAGTCTGAGAGCGTTGTCAAGACCACCGAGTTCACCTTTCGAGTAGGCGAAGAATTCCAAGAAACGACACCCGACGGCCGTGAAGTGAAGTCTCTCATCACCTTCGACGGTCCCACCATGAGACAAGTTCAAATTGGTGATGGAAAAACCACACAAATCGATAGGTCAATTAGTGGAGATAAGCTAACAACTGTAAGTAATCCTCCCGTTGCTATTTTCATCTCAATTTCATAACAATCTAGCGTCCATTTTCTCACTCTTTGCAGGTTGTCAAAGTCGATGAATTAGTGAGTACACGTGTGTACATAAAGCAATCTTGAGAATCAGGATACGCCCACTTCTCCACCCACCCCCCCCCCAC